CCAACAGAAAAATGCCAACACCACAGTGAAACATGGAGGGCATGAAGAAGGAGAAAAAGGACAAGGCACACCCAATTTCCTCCATCTTGTCCCCTTTGGACCCCTAATCTAGAATCCTAAAATTTTCCTTTTGCACCCGTGCCACACTTAATTATTACTTATATCAAACACTCAGAGCTTGTAATTCATCCTGTGAGATTGAAAACTCTTTTCCATGGGCAGAGATCACAGCCAGTGTCTCTGGGGGCTCTGTCCAGGGGGGTTCCTGACCCCTGCCAGGGTCCCAGACCTGCCAGGGCAGCCAGATGAGAATCCCAGGATAACAAGGACAGGGAGAACCCCCATTTCCCCCAGCAGCTTCCTCCAGGCAGGATGAGAAAAAGAAAATCTGCTCTGATTCCTGCTCTGGTTCTGCTCCCTTTGCCCAGGGAATTAAAGGAGATCCCCAGGCATCCCAGGGAACGCAGCAGTGCTCCCCTCCTGCCCCATCCAGCATCTCCATCCCCAAATCTGAGCTCATCCAGCGCCCTGCCAGGTGTCTGCCTCATCCTCCCTGCAAAACACTTTGCATAATCCGATTAAAGAGGATGGATGAGTCTGCCTGGCACGGCACGGGAGCACCCTGCTAATCACCGGGGAATAAAAACCTCCGGGGCTTTGATGGATGCTGGTGGATTCTCCAAGGAGGGGCTTTACCTTGTAAATACTGCAAGAGAGTTCGGTCTTATAAGTGGGAAAGGAAAAAAAAAAAAAAAAAAAAAAAAAGAGAAAAGCAAATGTGTAAATGTTACATGCAAAGTGAGAAACCTCCCAGAGCCAACACAGTGCTGTTAATGACATCTAATTAATTGTGGATAGCAGGCAAGTTCTGGAAAATAGAAAAGTGGTTTAGTGTGGATCCAGGGTTGAATAAGGCTAATGGACTCACCCAGGTTTTTTTCCCACCAGGTGGAAAAGCACAGGAATTTGTGCAGGACTCAGCTCAAAGGATAAAGAAATGCAAAAACAACTGGCTCCACTGGGAGGATGTGCAGCAATAACCACCCAACACGAGTGTTCTTCCTCCTCATCAGCTGATGCTCAGCTCTACCAACAGCAGGGAATTCCAGAGAGGGATCCCAGCAGGATTTTGAATGGAAAAGCCCTGACACTGGAAAGCAGAGCTGCAAAATCCTTACACTCACTGATCCTACAGGTGTTTTCCAGCCTTAGACATTCCACGAGGAAACGGTGCTGATGGCAGGAGGGGGAATTTGGGAGGTGGGGATATTCCAGCCCCATGGGGTGGGGATCTGCAGCCAGGGGAGCCTCAATCCCACCAGGTTCAGCTCAGCTCAGCAAAAGCAGCAGCTCCCAACACTTCCCAGGTGCCTGGTGGGTGGGAACAGGATTGCAAGGCTGGGATGTGACCCTACACCACAGTGTCCCACTGAGCAGCTCAGCAGCAGAGCCACATGCCCAGATCCAGCAAGGGAACCTGGAAAAGGCAAAGAAAAAGCACAGGAATGGTCTTAAGGGCAGAGAAAAAGCTGAGTGGGAAGTGTGGGAATCCAGAGCTTCCCTCTGGCTGCCCTGGCAGGTCTGGGACCCTGGCAGGGGTCAGGAACCCCCCTGGACAGAGCCCCCAGAGACACTGGCTGTGATCTCTGTCCATGGAAAAGAGTTTTCAGTCTTACAGAATTAATTACCAGCTCTGAGTATTTGATATGAGTAATAATTAAGTGTGGCACGGGTGCAAAAGTAAAATTTTAGGATTCTAGATTAGGGGTTCACAGGGGACAAGATGGAGGAAATTGGGTGTGCCTTGTCCTTTTTCTCCTTCTTCATGCCCTCCATGTTTCACTGTGGTGTTGGCATTTTTCTGTTGGTTCAGGCTGGGGACACACTGTTCAACGTAGGTGACAGATATTGGCACGTTATTGTAAATCCAGCACAGGTAGTTTGTGGTATTTAATGTTTGTACCATCCCACTGAGGGCAGAGCCCCACACGCTGCCCTGCAGGACAGAGCTGCGGCAGGGCAGCAGAACATGTTAGAGATAAACAGAATAAACAACCTTGAAACCAGCACAGACCAATTATGGCTTCTGCTTTGGCAGCGGGGCTGAAAGACAGAGACTTTTACAATCTCAGAATCATCAATACCACAGATTCCGACAGGAAGGACCATAAGGATCTCATCCTGCTTAAGGGAAGGATTGGCACTGGCTGGGCTGTGTTGGTGGGGGGACACAGGCTCAGCCCAGAGCAGCTGTGGCTGCCCCTGGATCCCTGGAAGTGTCCCAGGCCAGGCTGGATGAAGCTTGGAGCAGCCTGGGACAGTGGAAGGTGTCCCTGCCCATGGCAGGGGGTGGAATTGGGTGGGATTTAAAGTCCATCCCAACCCAAATCATTCTATGAACTTCTGATCCCTCATTTTCCTTCACCTCCCAGCACTAATTAACACACTTATCTGCCCAGGGTGGTTAATAAGACACAGTCAGCAGTGAGAAGCAGGAGACAACTCAAACCTGTGCATAATTCTGGGGTGATTCTGTCAACAGGAACAAAATCACAGCACAAACAGTAGGGAAAACCCCATCGTGACACCTCAGCTTCTGGGAGACACGAGCTGCCCCTGTCAGCTTCAGAAGGAGGGAAGGTGTGAGAGCTCAACCCTCATCCCACCCCTCCTGAAAGAAGAGTTTAGCCAAACCCAGGGCTGGGAGCTCCTGCTGGATGCTCTGCAGGCTCCCAAAGGAAACCTGTGCTCAGGGCAGGGCTCCAAAGTGAACCTGCAGCATCCACCAGATGCTCTGCTCTCCCTTTGTGGATTTATCTGCTTCAAACCCAAGATATTGGGTTTTTTTCAGAGAAATCCAACAGTGTGAGAGCGTCATCAGTTCAGAAGGGCAGGACCTGGATATAGTAAAAATGTGGTGACCCCAGATAGGAAGAAATCAGCAGATTTGGGCTCAGTTCAAAGGCCAGGCTCCTTTAAAAATACAGCATTTAAGGGTTCTCCAAAGAATATATATGCATATATAATTGTTTAATTATTTACAAGCACATCCAGGATTTTAAGCCTTGATGTAACTGGGGTTCTACAGAATTCCTTTCTGCTGTGAAATCTTTTCTCATCTCAAGCCTGTCTTCAAACAGGAGTTTTCAGTGAGTGGAAAAGAAAAGAACTATCAGGCTCAGACTCCTCTGTCAAACTTGTGTCTGCCTTAGTTTTACATGAAAGAGATTTCTTAAGTTCCTCCTAAAAATATGCATCCATACAGCCATGCTTTGAAAGGCAAAGAAAAGCAGGAGCCACAGACACCCTGGGAACCTCTCCCAAAGATGATTTCCCAGCAGTACAAGATGCAGTGAGTAGTGAAATTTTACAGCCAGGTAACACAGAGAGGAATCGATGCTCTCTTCAGATGGGAGTGAAAAAAAGAGACCACAACATCTTTAATCAGGGAGCTGGAGGGATGAGGAGAAAAGGAGCAAGGGAATGGGATCATTAGGATGATGTGTGGTCCTGTTGTCTTGCATAAATTGAATGGAGAATTGGCTGAAAGGCTGAAGGTTTCAATTAAATAAACAAACCTGTGACAGAATTGATGTAAAATCCACACAAACTGCATAACAAGCTCAGAGAGGGTCAGTCCTGACCCTGAGGGGTTTTGGGGTACTGCTTTAGGATATGAGCTGGGACCCTCCTGCTGCTCTGGAGGCAGGCTGGGAGAGCTGGGGGTGCTCACCTGGAGAGGAGAAGCTCCAGGCAGAGCTCAGAGCCCCTTGCAGGGCCTGAAGGGGCTCCAGGAGAGCTGGAGAGGGACTGGGGACAAGGGATGGAGGGACAGGACACAGGGAATGGCAGAGGGCAGGGATGGATGGGAGATTGGGAAGGAATTCCTGGCTGTGAGGGTGGTGAGAGCCTGGCACAGGGTGCCCAGAGAAGCTGTGGCTGCCCCTGGATCTCTGGAATTGTCCAAAGCCAGGCTGGACATGGCTGGGAGCAGCCTGGGATGGTGAAAGGTGTCCCTGCCATGGCAGGGGGTGGAATGGGATGAGTGATTCCCTAATCCCTCTCCCCCAGGCTGGGGCTACAGCAGCAGCAGCTCAGCTTTGAACTCTGCTTGTTGCTCCCTCTCAGCCTTTGCTCCTGCCTGAGGAGCAGCAGAAACGTCCCCCCTCAGCCAGGTTGTCCCAGCAGAACTGCTCCAAGGCTGCCGTGGAATCCTGGGATGGTTTGGATTGGAAAGGACCTCGAAGATCATCTCACTCCAACCCCCCTTTGAGCATTTTGAACCAGCAGAGCCTCTCTCTGCTCCCCTGCACTCAATTCCTGCCCAGGAATGCAGCAGGATCACATCCCAAATGCCATCAGGAGTGCATTTCCAGTGTCCTGGATGAAGCTGGGCAGAGCAATCCCACAGGACAAAGGGTTCACTGCTCTGCTGGCAGGTGGGCACATCTAGAAAACACTGCAGATATCCTTATTTCCCTTCCCTGTCCTCACACCAACATTAATTTTTCCAAGTTCCAAAAAAAAGCTGACAATTCCTTTTAGTTCCTTTTAAAAAATGAAGCTCCTGTGCTCACGGGGGCCACCTGCAAAAAAAAGGGATACAGAATACACAGATGGAAAACAAACCACTGAATTCCCATTATGGAAATTAATTTTAGGAGGCACAAAGCATATTATTCCTGGAAATTGCTTTTATTTAGCAATTACCTTAACACTGCAAGAAGGCAGCTGGCACTGAAAACAAACAGTTCAATTTAAAAATCATGGAAGGGAATTAACTGAAATTCCAGGGCACTCACACCTGAATACGCTCCACTACCTCCAATACTTAAAAATCCTCAATCAAAGGCTTCGGGTTTTGTTTGCTGAGTAGAAAAGGGATAGAAGAGTAAAAGAAACCATTTATTTTTGAAGTTGTTTATATGGTTTTTTGCAAATCAAAGTCAAGCTCTGACAACCAACCAGCAGGGAAAATAAACTGAAGGAGTCAATGACAATACTGAGATAATATTTTAATTTGTTTTATAATTTTTTTTTCCTGTAAAATGGCTTGTACTTCCACAGGTACAACAGCAAAAGAAATTATTCCAGTCCATTTCACACGGCGTATAAAAAGACCAATTTTACAAATATACCCAGAAGTTGAACAGCTGCTCACACTGTTTTTAAGGTAAACATCACCTCTCCATCACACAGGGCTCGCTGTGGGAGAGGCTTTTCCTACAGCTGTGCTGCCTTCAGGGGCTCTCCACCGTGGATTTAATGCAAGGGCAGAGCCATTCCCATCCCCAACCCCCAGCACAGCAGCAGGAGGGACTTCAGGTGACTTGGAGGAACAGGAAAACATAAATATGGCCCCAATGAGAGCATCTGGACAGACATTGGGGTTTTTTTTTTCTGGTGTTTGGGTATCCAAGCAGCTCCTATCTTTGCTCTGCTGCCAATAAATGAAAACTGAGCAGCACAGACAGTGCAGATCTGTCTTTACTGCCTGCCCAGGGTCACTCCACTGCTCTTCCAAAATCCAGTTTGCAGAGCCACTGTGACTCCATCCTAGACACTACCCCCTCTCCACCCCCCACCCCCAAAACCAGCCTTACCTTCTGCCTTTGTCCTTTTACCTCACAACACCGAGTGTGCAGGCTTGTGACCAGTGCTTACAAAACCCAGAATAATGAGAAAAATCTGTCAAAAAGGCGCTGCAACCCTGGGCTGTGTTTCCCCTGTTTTCCTTCCAAGCTGGATTTATTCCTGTACCTGTAACTGTGGGGATAAATAAAAAAGGAGGAGCCCAGGATTCACAGGAGGGTAAAAAACTGAGGAAATGAGGAGGAAGAGTCAGGTCAGTTTTCCTACCAGGCTAAAAATGGATTGAAATGCCTGTCACTGTTCCCCACAGCCACATCCCTAGCAATGGTTCTCCAACCACAGGAAAGTGTCAAGACTGTGGGATGGAGGAACAGAAACATGAAGTTCTCAGAGAAGTTTCTTTCCACTTCCAGAAGAATGAAGAAATGGTGAGGAAATCACCAGCTATGGCAGGAGCACTAAAGGGAGAATGACCACAGCCCTAAAATATAATTAAGCACTAAAACATAATTAAGTTCTGTTCACAGTTCCATTGCAGTTTCTCACTATGACACACTCAGCACCTCTGGCTCCTCGCTCAGGCTCTGAAGCCAAACCCTCAAATTCCAGGAATTGCCACTAGGACACCAAGGAGTGTCTCACTGGGAAGGTCATGGGGCTTTCCAGAGCATCCCAGAACTTCCCAACAAACTCAGGAGAATCCTTTGCAGGGCATGGATGAGGTCTGAAAGCAGGAACAGCTCCAGTCACATTTCCAAGCAGTTCCTTTGCTTCAAAGTGGATCTGTCCCTACTGGAACCAGTTCAGCCATGGCTTTCTTCTCTTCTGATCCCCATTCCCACCCTCACAATGGAAAAAAAATAAATCTTCTTTAATCACTCAGCCTGTACAGTGCTGTGACTGTAGCCTGATGCACAAAATGACCACATTTGAAAAAAAATAATGAATAAAACACAGTCCTGTGTGCACTGTCCTGTACAACTGGACAACAATTCCCAGTAAGAACAGTGTTCATCACTCATTTTATTTAGACTTCAGCACTCTCCCAAAAAGCTGCCAGGAAAAAGGGAAATGTTCCAGCTCCAACGTGCATGGATTTGACAGATCTCACCTTTTAAAAAAAATCAGACTAGAAAAATACTTTTAGTTCTACGTTATGCAGTCAAAGCTGCTTTTGAGGATCCAGATAGAATCAACAGTAACAGGTGATAAAAAAATCCTTATGGAACACATTGCCAATGGGATGCAAAGAAACACTGAAATAATTAATAAACCTGAGTGTGGTTCTCAAGTTTGCTGACTCTAGTTTTATTTATCCACAAAGTCCTTTTTCCTATCGAGGTACCAGAGCAGAGGAGGAGTTTATGGAGCTGGGGGAAGGTGAGGGCCAAGAGCTGAATGCTCCATCATTTCACCACAGCAGGGTTTGAGGAAAATCACATTTACAAACTCTTCTGCCACATCCAACTCTGCAGGCCTGAGCCTGGATTTGAACAGCAAAGTCCCTGAATTCCACACAAACCTTGGGAAATTGCTTCCCAGAAAAGAATGCTGCCCCTCTGCTCAGCCCTGCTGAGGCACACCCAGAGCGCTGTGCCCAGTTCTGGGCTCCTCAGGACGGGAGGGACACGGAGATGCTGGAGCAGGAACAGCAGAGGGCAAATCCTCCCACGAGGATGGAGGGAGTGGAGCCTCTGCCAGGAGGAAAGGCTGAAGGAGCTGGGAATGTTCAGCCCTGAGAAGAGACAACAGAGGGGACCCCATCAATGTGTATAAATATCTCAAGGGGTGCCAAGAGGATGGAGCAGGCTCTGCTCTGTGGGACAAGAGGAACGAGCAGGAACTGATGCCCACGGGTTCCACCTGAACGTGAGGAAGAACTTCCCTGTGCAGTGAGCAAACCCTGAACAGAGATCAGAGAGGGTGTGGATCAGGAGAGATTCCAGAGCCATCTGGACACAATCCTGTGCCCTGGGCTCCAGGATGGCCCTTCTTGAGAAGGGAGGTGGGAGCAGATGAGCCCCTATGGTCACTTCCAGCCTTGCCCATTCTGGGATTCTGAGAGTTTTCCTTCCTGCAGTATTCCTTGTGTTACACAGAACTGCCAACAGCAAAAGGAAAAAAACAAAAATCTTGTTTAAACAGTTTCAAACAGACACTTCCCTTGGATACAAACCATCATCCAGTGTTCTGCTTCACACAAGCCAAACACACCAAGGCTGATGGCGTGCTGTGCTTCCAGTGAGGATCCTTCCAACACTGTACATTCACTTTCCACAGGGAACAGAAGGGATGTGAAGCCCTGAAGCAGCAATTCAACTGCAAGTGAAGGGAAGGACTAAAGCAGCTGGGGGAGGGAGGTGCTGCCTGGCTGTTTCCAATCCCTGGGGGCTCAGAGGAGACGACCCTGCCCAGCACACGGGGGGAGCTGCAGGAGTGAGTCCAGCAGGGAGGGAGGAGGGAGGCTGCCTCTCCCAAAAATGAGGTATCTGCTAACCAGGAATGACTGTGGGACCTGAGGAAGCTGCAGGGCTGAGGAAGAGGCACCTCCATGTCTGGTTTCTTCCCCACCTGGCTGGGGCTGCTGCTCTCCGTGGAGATGAGCCACGAGGCTGGGAGTGAGGACTTGGAATACGGAATCACAAGAGGATCTCCTTGAAAAGGCACTAGGAAGAAGCATAAAGGTTAATCCTGTTTCCAATCACTGAGTGGGACAAAAACTGTACAGTCTGGGGCTTTTAGAAAAAAAAAAATGCTGCAGATTATTTTTTTTAAACAGCAAAGTAAAGCTATTTTCAAATTATTAAAATGCTGAACATGTATACAGCAAAATTATGCTAAAAACAGCAGCAGACAAAGTCCATCCCATCACCATTGGCAAGGGACATGTAAAATGTTTATAAGGTTAACTATAAAACAATTTTACAACCAAAATATGAACAGGCCAATTCAAGTATATATATATACAGAATATATTAAAATCATATAAATTATATATTTATACAAAGGGCACAAATATAGCGAAAAGCTATAGTTGATTAAACAGAACTGAGCTTGAATGATCAATTTCATCTAGAGATGTTATAGATTTCTCCCAATTTTTTTTTTTTTAAACCTGGATAGATTGATACCTCAGATACCAAGAGTACAGAAAGCATAAAGAAGAAATAAAAAAAAAAAACCCACAAATCAAAGAGTTATCATGCTGCACAAAATGAGCCTAACAGTGGGCAGGGTACACCTCATATGAAATTCTGATTTAATTATTTCCATAGTAAACATTTATCAGCTCTCTTAAAAAGTCACGAATTTCAAGTGATCCACTTCAAATGTACCACCCTGGTGCATATATTTGATTACATTTGAATGTTGTTTGATTTGCAAACATTTGGGGGGAAAAAAGAGATACAAACACAACTCAATCTGCAAAAAGAAAGGTGACAGATGGCAGCAAGTTGAAAAGTGAACAAAAATGCTCAGCTGAACTGGAAATTATGCTCTCCCTTCTAGTGAAAATGCTTTAAAGTGAGCTTAAAAAATAACTTATTTTAAAATGCCTTTTTTTTTCCTAAACATAACAGCAAATAACTGCAATGCACTGAAGCACTTGAGAATCTAAACAGTCCCAGGCGTGGGCTTGGATTTAAAGACAGACTAAGTGCTTTCCTGAATTCAGGTTTATGTAAATAAATTCTGTACCAGCTGTACCTAAACCAGCCCTTCATCACAGCAGGAAAGCCTGGACATGCCTCTGGCTCCATCAGGGTGCCCAGAGCAGCTGTGGCTGCCCCTGGATCCCTGGAAGTGTCCCAGGCCAGGCTGGAGCAGCCTGGGACAGTGGGAGGTGTCCCTGCCACAGCAGGGAGTGGAACTGATGAGATTTAAGGTCCCTTCCAACCCAAACCATTTTGGGAATCTGTGAGCTCCACTCACCCAAAGGCCCTGGGTAAGGAGCACTGAGGGCAAGCAAAGCAGAAATAAAAAGGCCAGGCTACACACACACAAAACATCAGCTTAAACCCCAGAGCTAAGTATGGAAAAAAGTGGTTTCACCAGATGCAGGTTAAATGGAAAAAAAAACCCAAAACACCAACAGAAAATAATCAGCCATCTCCCATATCTAACAGCCAGTGGATATCTACTGCACTGAAAGGAAATCAATGCAAACAGGATTTCCTCAGTTTCAAGTAATCTTTGATGCCTTTTTGGCCAGCTGTGTTATACCATAATAGATATTTTAATAACTTTTATCCTCTACACTTTAGGCAGCTAATTTTTATCTTACATATCCAATTATCTCTAGTGAACATTCACCTATGGGTTGTCCACACATTCTGTATTTGCTCCTTGAGAAACTATTCAAGTTAAATTATATTGCAAATTAAAGACAGTTACATTCTGTATGTTCCTTCTAGATTTGAAAAATAGGTTTTAAAGGCTTGTCAAAGTTCAGAAGAAAAAACCTTTCCATTAAAAAATCTTAGCTTAAAAAAATCATTTAAGACACCTTTTTTCTGATCCAGGGTACTAATAAAAAGATTACAAATATACTACAATTTGACCAAGAAGACTCCATGAATATGCTGCTTTCGAGCATGCAACACCACTGATATCTGTCAAGTTCCAGGTATCAATGTATCCCAATTCCACCACCGTCCCTCCATCCTCTCATCGCTTCCCCCATCCCCACCCTACCCACCCCTACGAACAACATTATAAAAAAAGCTAAAATCTCGAATTAGTGGCAAAAATCTTCACAGTAAACCGTTCAAGAAAAAACTTTTATTGTGGTCGTGGCCGTGCAGATCCCTCAGTCGATGGGGCCCTGAAAGATGAGCTTGACGCAGTTGTTCTCCCCGGAGAGCTGCGTGGCGCAGAAGGGGCAGGCGGCGTGGAAGGCGTGAGTCCCGTGGGGCAGCGGGATCTGGGACCAATATTTGGCAGTTTTCTCGGAGCACACGTGTCCACAGGGGGTGAAAGCATGGGTGGGTGGCCCAGCATCCACGTAAAATCCGGCCTCGCAGCCCAGCCACAGCGGCACGTAGGGGCCGACCGTTCTGCACATGGGGCACTCGCGCTCGTCGCTCTCCGTGTCGCTGCGGTGGCCCCAGTTGTGGTAGCCGTGCACGTGGCCGCAGCTGAGGTAGACCCACGGCTGCTTGTCCTCCACGTCCTTCTTCTTCACCACGTCCTTGCGCTCCATGGAGGGGAAGGCCAAGGTGTTGAAGCCCACGGGGCACTGGGGCCGGGCGGCGTTGATCTCCTGCCGCAGCGCCTCGATGTGTTTCTGCGTCGGGGTGTGCAGCAGCCCGTCCGCCGTCCTCCACAGCAGCGTGGCCCCGCACAGGTCGATCAGGGAGCCGTCCTGAAGGATGTTGGTCTCGTTTTCTACCTGGTGGCAGGATACAAGGGGAGGCTGTTTAGCCTGGGAGCTTTTACAGACACCACATCACCTTTCTCACCTCCTTCATTTTGTCTTATTGCTGTCCTGCATCCACCCCACCTCCTAACCTATAACCTGATCTCTTATTCTGTGCTTGTACAGGGAATTTGCATTTGCAGTATAAATTATTATACAGTCTTTTGGCCCCTGAGCACGCTCTTTTTTTCCTCCAATATTGATTCTATACGCCTTTGTCATATTTCACTAAGTCCTGATAGACTGAAGAAAAGACGTGCCATTCCCTGAGGGCTGCATTAGCAGATTCTCTCCTGGAATTCTTTGCCCACATAACACTGACTGAAGCTGCTCAGATATTTAAGAAAAAACAGTCCTTTTTGGACTAAAACCTGCTACCCAGGACAGGCCAGCTGTCCTGCCTCTCAGATACCATTTGTTCTGGGGTTGTGGCAAGGGTCAAGCGTTTTGCAGAAGCGTGAGCTCCCAGAGTGAGCCTCAGCAGCACAGGTACCTGCATGGCTTAGCACTGCAGCAGACAGAATTACCAGCTGAATTTCTCAGGTGACAAATTTGAAGCCACACAGGCTCAGCTTATGAACAATTACCCACCCCACTCATTAGCCCTCTTATTTAATGAAGTATTTCAAGCAAACACAGCCCCAGCGTGCACTGCCTACAGGCTTCTCTCTGATTAAAAGCAGGTACTTACAACATTTTCAAGGGATTATGCCAAACACACATTGTACTTGACTGAAATATTCTTTATTTTAATGTCACAAACATATAAGCAATCCACGCTTTTGCTATCAGTTAATTAATGATGAATATATATTAAAAATACTCTTTATAAAATTAAAGAGAAAAACAGACCTACTATGCACAGAAAGTACACCTAATGCAGACCAAACAGCCAAATACAAACAAATACATTAAGTAGGTCACATGAAATCATCACATCTGCCTAAGAATACTATGAATGACAACCAATTTAGCATTTACATTTTAATCCAGTTTAAATTCACAGATTAACTGTGGATCATCCTTGCAAAAAACACCTCAGTGGTACAATACAGACTACAGACAAGAGGTCACCAGTGCCAAGTAATTCCAGCAGAAAAAGGTAATGGTTCAAGTAGAGATGAGAGAAGCCTTGATCTGATGCTCTTTTCAGATATTCCCTCACAAACAGCAAAACAAAAAGCTCCCTCACATGCAACGTGTTCAATTCATTATACAGCCTGCATTTGGTTTTATGAACCCAATCAACGAACACTGATCCCATCAATAGTGTGCCATGCAATTTTATTTAAATGAGAATTCCACTCGTTTTGGATGCAGGGAGGGGGATTCATTTGCTTTGCAGTGCCTCTCTTTAGCAGCACTAAAAGGTGTTTTGCTAACCACGTACAAAGGCTGCAATTGCCACATCATCTGCCCAGGTCCCCAGGCAACATCTGCCTGCCACCATCCGTGAGACAAAGCAATTTATGTGCTGAAGGGTGCTGAAAGCAGAGCAGCCCAACTCCATTCCCTTAACTCTTTCTGCAGTCAGTTTTCTCCAAAGCCAATGGCAGAGTGGCAAAGTCAGTTCATTGAACTTTTCTCCTGGTTTTATGTGCCACAGGTCCCCAGCAGCTGAAATCTCTCACTTCTGGGAAAGCAAAGCCCATCCTGCCTCACAGGAGAAAACAGAAATTTACTTCCAGGGCTCCTCTTATCTTCCCAGTAGCAGGTAAATCAAACAGAAGCTGCCTTACCCAAACTGCTTTTGCACAAAAGTGGACTCTTCTGGCAGTACTGCAAAAGACAGCTCCCCATGCAGCAACTTCCAGACATCCCCATGTCCCAGGAGAACATTCCAGAGCAGAGTTTATTTAGCTTTTACACTCTGTGCTATTTCAGCTGCAAAAGTGGCATTAGCAGAAAGTTCTGAGTGTTCTCCCATACACTCAGGAACAGAACAGCAGCGCAAAATCTGCTGTAACACACAGATTTACAGTGCCACTACTCAGGGACAACCACCCTGTACCTGCCTGCATTCAAAGCCAGGAAAACAAGTTCCCTGTCACCGTTGAGTCAGAAGTGACACGGATAAAGAGTGACACACTCCATTATTTTCAGAAGGTTAATAATAATTTTATTAGGAACTCATTCCTTTTTGTACTCTAGCTCCCTACAGGTGAACCTGATTGGTCCTTTAATCAAAACACCATCAGCATTGGCTAATTAAGAAGACACCCATTTGTAAACAACCTTGTAACAAAACACCACCTGTGGATTGTTTCCATTTGATCATCATCCTTTGTCTCCAGCTCCCTGAAACTTCCCAGACTGATTCATGGCAAAGCTTATCTCGCTTTCTCTCTCTCTGACCAGACTGTCACATCCACAGTACCCCTTGATTAACCTCAGTCGCTTCCTGTTGGGAGTTCTGGATGTTGAAAATTTTTTAGACTTTCTGTACAAACAGACTCTGACTTCCTGGAGAACACTACATTTGACCTGGAGCTGTGGAACAGGCTTCCAAAATTGATTGATAGCACTAAGATTACCGGTGTGTAGCTGGTTACAAGTGTGTAATATCACAGGGTGGAAAACTTAAGAGTTTGGGGTTTTAGAATATAGTAATAAATATGCAGCAAGATAAAAGCTTTAGAGCAGAAGCAGGTTGTTCTTCTTCACCACCTTCTTCCTTCCTTTCCATGGGTTTGGGTGATATTTTATAGTTGGACAGAAAAGTCCACAGTGTGAACTTTGAGAGATTAGTTATTGGGTTAAAAGTGAAAACAATTTAGGTGTCATTTCTTAATTAGATAGTTTAGCCTTAAAAGACCTTGTAACAAGAGATAGTTAACCGTTTCCGTGCCTTGTTAGTGAAAAACTACAGAACTCACTGCTGCAAGACTGTAACATTGATAAAAAATAAACACCTGAGTCCGAACGCGAATTTTCATCTCAAGTACCTTCAATTAAAAAAAAATAATAAAACCCAACAACCTGGCACTTACCAGTTTGCCCCTGTGCTGAGCAGACCTGGTCTCCCGGAGCGTGTAGACATTCCCACAGACCGAGATCTCCCTCCACACCCCGGGCTTGGACTCCTCCGTGAAGCCTCCCTTGGGGTGCATCACCAGCACCCCGTTGGTTGTCAATCCATCCATGTGCCCATCAGGGTTTTTCCATTTTGCTGCTTTTTCCTGCGTGTGACAGTCACAGTGACTATCAGAAATACATCAAACCAACCTAAAGAAAACCCTCTAACAGTTCCTAAAGTGCAACTTCATTGTTAAAGACAATTATATATCTCTACTGGTGATAACTCAGCCACATAAAACTGCAGTTTCTACTTCACACTGCAGCTGGTGTAAGTAAAATCTAATGCCAGTACAAGTTATCAACCAGTACAAGGAGATTTGGGGGCTTGAAAGTAACAGAATATATCATTATTAGCAGTACTTACACCAAGAAATATATTTTTAGACGAGTCAAAGCCAGCTGCAAAGATCCTTGCTGTGTATGGTGGGATCCTGTCACAAACAATCCTGCAGGCAAATCGGGAGATGGTGCTCTGGGTAATCTGGGTTTCATCAGTATTTTGATTTCCTGAAATAGTGTCTGTTACTACAAAGTCTATGGGACTTTCTGTAGATCTCCCAACCTGCAAAAAAAATTAAGATAATGGTATAAATAGAAATAGCCACTGAAATTTAAAGCATTGAGGACACAGTTTTGCCAGGTTAATACTTTACTGATGACATCAGTAAACTTCTATCTACTGAATTTTTGGATGACAAGATCCAGCCAGAGACTGATCTGTATTTCCACATTTGTGCTAGGTAGAAATACAACACGTGGACATGGAATGACAAATTTTCACTTACCACAAATGATGTTCATGCTTGCTTGAAACAGATCAACACAGCTGATCTGTTTGATAAGAGTAATGTCACCAAAGAAGTATTATCACCTTTCCATTTCCTCATCAAACCACAGCAAATTACTTACCACTGCATTCTGTTAGGCAAGAAAGCACTAGCTTGGATTGACAAGTTTTATTCACATTTTCCAGTTCCAAATACATTTGCCATGAAAATAAAGGACTTTTTTTAGACCCATAATTTGGTTATTTTGATATGTCATAATAAAGAGCTATCCACCTTCATGTGTTCAGGGTTTGTAGTCCCAAAAAGAAAATTTGTCAGGCAAAATGCACTCTTATGTTGAAATTTATTCCTAATCATGCACATGCATGACTAACAGAATTAAAAAACTTTCTTGATTTGAGCAGAAATGAAACATACTTATCAGCAGACAGGAAGATTTTTCTATGTGGTCAGCTAAAAATTTTAATTCTAAATCTGGAAACACCTGGGACAGAAAACTTCATGAGTACATGGATGGAAGGACCTGACTGCCAGACAGTGAGGCTTTATCAATATTTCTACAGGCAAATTAGTGTTACACCAACTTTGAGCTTAACTGGGAAAGTGGAGCTGGGGAACAAGAAGTGGAACAGAATATTAATTTTACAGACACCTTGTGATCAAACAGAATTAGGAATACTCTTCACATGAAACTACCTTCAGTATCAAGTATCTACACTGATATTAAATAACCTCCTCACTAAACATGATCTCGGTGTTCCCCAAGAAGTTCCATTCTGCTCAGATCTTGCTGTTTAAAGCCAGCTATGGGGAGCCATGTACGGTTCCATCATTAACAAACACCTCTGCAAACTAAACCTGCTTTAAAGAAACACTGTTCAAGAGTCAAGGAAATTAATATTATCCACATCTAAGCCTTGTCACAACTGGATTGACAGAAACAGTGCAGGGACCTCTCCTGTGCTTCTCTCTGCAATTTAACACGTGTCAGAATTCCTGGCTCAGGGACACATCCAGTTACTGTCTCCACAGCACAGGCACAAAACGGGATCAGCTCCCTGCACAGGAAATACTCAACAAGGCCTAATCAAAAGTCCACATTTCAATTTCTCACAGAAAGTGTCTACTAGAATACCCAGGAGAGAGAGTTTAGAAACTATTTAATATGGGATATTCCTGATTTATAGAACTTGACAACTTGAAGCTAAATCTTACAAAGCAATATTCTTCTTCCTTTTACAGTATTATTTCTACCAGGCTTCTATTTCCCATTCAAAGCAATTCCTGCTAAGAGTCAGCACTGAGCAGCAGCAGGAACCTCATGAATAAATTTTGACTATTCTCCATCTGTACATGGAGTCCCTTAAAGGATAATCAATAACAAATATGAAATTAATTTGTTCATAACAAGTTTCTTCCTCTTGCAGTCTCTAAAATAGATCATTCTCTCAAAGCTTTTAGATGCAATTAGAGAAAAATCTGCCTCATTTTTCCTTAAAGGATGACAAAGCACACAAGTGTGTGCTCCCAGCCTTACATCACAGTAATCATTCACCATGAAATTCCAATTTCTTTAGATATTACCATTAAGATCTATAAACAATGCATCTGTGTGCTTTTTTTTACATTCCTAGAATGATATGTAGCATTTTATATAAACACTTCAGTACTTATCTCATTTGTGTCACAAGTATGTCAGTGCAAAATCAAATATTTTAAATATTTGGTTTTCTTCCCTTTTCCAGTTGAGAAATCCTTCTAGGGGATCAGTCTCGTGTATTGTGCTACTTTTCAGCATTTGAATTTATTTGAAAAAGTGGCCTTTAAAATCTGGCAATTTTCTCAGATTGCACGAACAATCAAACTCTGTATTACATCATGAATTTGGGTTTGAGATCACCTGAAAACCAAAGGCCTAAGGAATAAATGGAAAATATTGATGCTATCAACATCCACCCTCCAGAACTTTTACCTCAGCTGCAGCCAGACTAGAGTCACTACAGACCCAGTCCATAATTCAGAGCTGCTCTTTACACACTTCATCACTCATTTTTCTCCCATTTTCCTGTACAGCACAGAGGACTTTCTTCTTTCTAGCAACTTCAGGCTGTATTTTGGGACCCTTCTTGTTAACTGTGGCACCTGATTTCCCCAAGTCACTTCCAGCAAGAACCCATAAATGTGCCAGGTGCTGCAGAGGCAGTGGGAGCTGTGTCCTGTGCAGGTGATGGTTAAAGCTGGGAGTGCTGCTGTCAGTAAAACACTGCCCCTGACAAGACAAACTCTGCCAGCACAGAATTTAACAGCTGCAGGTTCTTGGGCTTCAACAGAATTTCACTCTGGTGAGAGTGAGAATTGGATTCTGCGTCTTCTGAAGGGTCGTTTTTCAGGAAAAAAATCAATGCTTTGTATTGAATGTACCTGCTTCTTGTATAAACTTGTGGGTATTTATGGTAGGAGCTGCACATTTCAGGTTTTGTAGGGACACCAGCAGATAAAATCAACCCATTTTCACCCCATCAAACCATGAAGGAACAGGTTCAACTTCACCTAACACATCATCAACAAAATGGTTAAACTCTGAAGAAAATCTTCATTTATGGATGCTGGAGCACATAAGAGTCTGGGAGATGCCAGAGGAACACATCTGTACATTCTTCTGTAATTAAATGAAGAAATCTGACCTGGATGTCACTAAGACAAAGGGGCATAGCAGCATTTACACACAGATTTCATAATATAGTCACATTAAAAAAAAAAAAAAAAAAAAAAAACCAAAAAAAACCAAACAAAAACTGAAACTACAAACAACACAGCAGAACAACAGCTCAAGAAACACAGTGGGAATAAAGAACAAAAAAGCCCAGGATAATACATGTTAACTGCCCAGGATTTACCCAGGATAATATATGCTAACTGCAGTCAAAGTGGGGCCTGAAGGTGTGGTCCAGAAATTATCCTTCCCTTTTAACTTCCACATCCTACACAAACCAAGAACACACATTTTAGAAGAAAACATTAAACTCCAAGGATTGTCTGTCCAAGTGATGCCTGGCCAACAGTGAAACTCTACTCTGTGGATCAACAGACATGAATTTTGTCATCATGTACCACAGGGCTGCACTAAACATCCTCAAGTAACTTTTCCCCACAGATTGGTGAGAACAGCTCAAATCTAATGGCTCATATGAATAATGGAAACCTCTTCAGCTGCTCTGGCACTGCTTCAGTGGGCAATTATTGCCACAGTCCAGCAGCTCACTCCTGTGTCAGCCCCTGCAGCCAATGCATGGAATGCAATCCTCAGGGAAGAGCCAGAGAGCAGAAACCTGACCCAGGACACAGCACTCGAGGTCACACTGAAATCAAATCACAGCAGGACCCCCAACACACCCCAAGACTGAAATGGTGTCTTATCCCCCCAAAAAAGCTGTACCCACCACTAGGACATTATGCAATAGATGTCTACGCAGTATGCCCAGAAAAAGCAGCTGTTCTGCAACTCTTTATTAATTTTGTACTGCACTCATGAAGAGGAAAAATCCAGTTTTCAAAAATGGTTTTTCAAAATTTATATACAGGAAAAAATTGTACTGTAGCTACTCAAGAGCTGAACAAGCATCACACAGTAACCCAAATGGATGGGTTACATTTTTCTTTCACTAGTCAACACAGAAAAACCTATTTCAGTTCACCCTAGCTGTTCAATCCTTCATTCTGCAGCAAATGAGTAAGACCAGGTTTTAATCAATTTCTATTTGGACCTAATAGTTTCAGTCACACTGGAAAATTTAATATAGAGCAAAACACACAAGTCAAGAGAAGCAGCAACACCTCCGAAGAGTTATTTCCTCTCTGTCAACAGCACTCAGCTGCTGACCCTTTTAAATATGAAAGGCTGAATGAGGAGGGATAACAATTCCTGGTGAGATGCTCTAGATAACACAGACTAGAATGAAAAAGGTTGTTTGGCATGTCTGGGTTCCCCAAGTTTGAAGTCCAAGTACACACAGAATTTCTGCTCTCTTATTATACATAAAAATAACCACAGCACAAGAAAATCAATTCAGGCTACCAAAATGAGGCAGAAAATCACAAATGCAGACAGGGGACATTGAGCAGGTGTTGGACATTAGATGGGAGCTTAGAGAAACTCAGCCCACACCACCTGTGTGTGCTGAGAGATCTGCACACCCCTCAGGAACTCATCATAACCAGTTGGAATGATAAATATCATTTATCTCTGACTTGTCTCCCCTGCTGCCCAGCTCCTTTTACTTTCCTCCTTCCCCATCCCATGTCCTACTCCTTCCACTTCCTTTTTACTCCAGCTACATTATTATCTGGAGGGTGGTGGGTGTAATTCTGTGCACATTCATGAATCCAAACACAGCACACATTTCTCTCCAGAACTGTCTTTGGAGAAAAGGCAGAGTACAATTAAAGGAGTAAGTCAGTAAGAGCATTAACAGGTGCTGGTGTGGGTTTGCAAAGAGTAGAATAATGCAAAATTTCAAAGAGTGCTCCCAAATTCATGCAGCTGGGTCAGACTGTAGAAATCCCACAGGTCACAGAGAACACCCAAAGGATAAGGCAGAACTGGGGTTTCCTTATGTTGCTTTTAAAAAACAATTCAAGTATTTTAGAGCCTTACCTGAAACATGTCTGTTTCTCTGTCATGAATATATTCCACTACAACTGTCTGGGTTCTGGATAATGTGTAAGAGACACTGTGGTGGCCTTTTGAGCTGATTGCCTGGTGGATAAAAAAAAAAAAGATGTCTATTACACACAAAAATATTGCAATCAAATCATTTTTCTACATAAACACCTTTGCTGTGATCAGGAAAAGCAGTGTATCATAACATGTTATTACAAGGTTGGGTAAGCACATACAACAAGATTTCTTTTGTTTGTTTTTAATGGAAAACCCCAAGCTGCAGTTGTTTGTTTCTAGTTCAGAAGTACCCAATACTTTTCTTTTACATTTGTATATACATTTTTACATACTAAATACCATTTTTATATGGTATTCTGTGTGTAAAAAATACCATATTTTTTCCAAACACCTTTTTTCTCTGAAATTATATTCAGTTCCTAACCCTTGCAGCAACTTGTACCCCAGCAAAGACTTGGAGTTGAGGGGGCTTTGGCTTGGTTTTTTTTTTTGAAGTAAGTGAACAACAGAACTGATTTCCAGTTAAAAGCCAGGACTTCTGTTTAAGTAAATTTCTATTTATATCAGAAAGAGCCCAGCAGTTTTATATAACTGCTGACAAAATCCAAACACTTTCAGTGTGGTTTTCCTCATTAAAGGGTACTTCTTACTACCTGTCAAAGTAGACTGGTGTCTACAGATATGGATTTAACATCAAAGATTAAAAAGGATTTCAGTATTTAAAAGAAGACAAGATGAGAACAGCTCCTGTTTTCTGCTTTATATCACCAAGATTGAGGGAAATGAGCTGAGAAACTGAATTTCTTGGCTAATAGGGAAATAGATGTAAATATGAAGGTCCATATAAATGGACCATAAATGGACCATATATGGACATTTATATGGACAAAAGGTCCATATAAATTCCACACACAATTCTGGAAGGCAATGACTGTTACTGACTGCTCTTTGCAGACACTTAAGCAATGAATTAATAAGTTAATTAAGGCTTTCTCCAGTTCTCAGTTCAGGGGATAATTTTCTCCAAGTTGTTCTCTCACTTGCTCCTTTCCTTTGTTCTGCTTTTTACCTAAAGAATTCACATATAGGGATGGTTAAACTAAACAACTAAATATATTCTACTCATCTGCCTGCTCTCCCTCACAAAAGCCTAAATTATGCCAAAGCTCCATCAATTATTGAACAAATCATTAAAAATCCTTCTGAATGCTGGAGGTATTAAAAACATCTATGTGCATACTAAAAGCCTACTAAGGGTTAGCAAGAGTATTTTACACAGAATTATTGCAAACACGTAACGGAAGAATTGTTTCTTGCAAACCTCATGCATTTAACAACCAGACAATGCATTTACAAAGTGCCTCTTGCTGGAAGTTCTAGCACCTGGTCCAGTGAAAAATGTCCTTGCCAATGGCAGAGGGGTGGAACTGGATCCTCTTTAAGGTTCCTTCCCACCAAACCATACTTTGATTAGGCAAGATGACCTTTCCCAGTACTTCTTTTCTGCAATAAAGCTTTTAACAAAACTTGGAAGATGAAGTCTAAGCATTTTAACAGCTGAGAAGTGATGTAAACACATTTGGTAATCAGTAACAGCCAGATTCTGAATTTCCCAGATTATTTCTAGTGTTTTGTAATAACCACTACAGTGGCACCAAAATGCAGTTTGGATTAAGTCACTAACACTCTGTGACCTGCCAGGACACTGAGCTGTGCTCTCAAAAGTTTTTCCTCTGTGCCTGTTTGACAACTAAGAAAGGGATCTCAAACCCTAGGCAGGTGTCAGGTGTTCCTAGGACAGAAAAGAAATAAAGGTGTTCCTAGGATATAAAGAAATAAAACAAAAAAGAATGAAATTAAATAAAGAAGTAAACAGGAGACCCTTACACCTTAAGTTTTAAGCTTAACATAGCAATAATCAGTTCATACTCATATGATCAGCTATCACCACTTCAAAGATCAGAAAGCAATAGCTTTCCTACACAAGATTTCACTCATTTCCACAAATCTCTGTTGCAGCTGGAATAAGCAGAGGACAGAGTGTAAATGTGGCAGTCCTGACTGCAGCTCCAGCCTCTCTGTGCAGCAGTGGCCACCAGCACCCAGGCAAATTCCCAGGCAGGGACGTGTGCCCCGAGCCCAGGCTGGTGTCAGACAATCTTCTGCATCCCATGGAAGCTTTGCTGAGAACCCAGGCTGGAAGTTTTTAAGGTCTGATGGAAAAAACACAGAGGGAAACACAAGGACTTCCTGAATTACTGACTCAGGTCGTGCCCTACGCCTACAGAGCTCAGGGCTTAGATTTATTAATAATACTGACCAGGGTCAGTGTGTCCTCTGAAATTCCAGGGTAGGACATAATCTTCTTTTCTCTGTGTGCTCCTTCCCCCTCCCAACTTTTCTTCCCCATCTACTTCCCCTCCTCTTTGTTTTCCATTATTTATACCCAGTTATTTTCAGTGAAGAAACGCTACATTTAATTTCCTGGAATTGTGTAATCATTTTTGGATGTTTCAACTTGTGTGCTTTCACAGCCTGGTCAGCATTAACAGTTACTCCAATTCAGACACTTTACAGGTATTTTAAGTGCTGGTCTCAAAGCAATTGGCCACTTCCAAGTCAATAAATAATTTTTAAAAAAGAGACAAGTAACAGTATTTTAGGAACTACACAAAACAGTGGAAGTTAAGACTCCTACTAATAAAACACTATTGCAAGTGGAATGCAGACACAGGCGAAAATCATGAAGGATTTTGACTGCTTGAGGAAATATAGAACCACATTACTACAAATCCCAAAAGAGTCTGGAGACTGATTGCACAAATCTCTGTTGTTTTGCAACCAAAATAGTGAGCTTGTCTTTTTACTGCTTCTAGCATTCAAATTTTCAGACTGTTTTCCTGTCAGCAGGATTCCCTCCTCAAAACCCCTTGATGCTGTCACATAATTGCCCTGGTGCACCAACTGAAATTGTGAGAAAAGCCCCGATTCCCACAAGAATTACAGCAGCTTCACGAGCTCCCACTGATCAATTCAGAGATTCAGGCTGGACAACACCATGTCCACGTTCCAGGCAAGAAAAAAGACAAGGAAGAACAAGAACCTGGCACCAAACTCTACTTCTGTCTCCTCACCTTCACTCCAAGGCTGCCAAGATCCACCAGAGTAAAACTGGGTATTTTCAAAGCTTTCTCTTAGAATCCACTGAGCTTCTGAGTGAGTGGAACTGTAGAATCATTTTGGTTTTAAAACACCTTTAAGATTATCAAATCCAACCATAAATCCCAGGATTGTCATGGAAGGGAAATCTTCCTTCAGGCACTTCCAGCATTTTGGGCTCCTTCATGATTCCCTGTGTTTAACTTTGAGCAGTTTGCTCCTGATTTTCAGGCTCATAAAAGTTTAATGAACATTATCAATTGAACAGGAAAAAAAAAAAAATCCCACCCTGAGTTAGTTTGCAACAGATAGAAATGCTGGAAAAACATCGCCAACATCCACAGCCTGAGCCTACCAAACCAATCCAAACCATGTGGCTCCAGGCTGGCCACAGCACATCCCACCCCTTGTCCAGCAGGAATGTGGTTAAATTTGGCTAAAGTGTGATCTGCAGCTCTTTAGGGGTCTAAACAGATGCAGAAATAATAGAACTAGGTCTTCAAAAGGCTCCACTATCCTGACACTGAGAAGTAAATTTGTGTTGGGGTGATTGTTTACTTCTTTTTATCTTTTGATATATCATTGTTATGTGGGGTGTTAGTAGGGTAAACAGCCCCAAACTGCAGGGACCTCTTGTTATTTTACTTGGGATACTAACTCAATACTAAGTACAGATTAAAACCACACTTTTTGATAGTTGTAAAAGCACATTAGAGGTATGTGATGCACGGTGTGAGGTACAGTTACACAATAAGCTTGTATTTCTATATGTGTTTAACGTTGCATTTACATTCTAAGGTAACTCTCTTGTGGTCTTGCTTTTTCCCTTGTAACTAAACATTATACAAGCACCTTTGCAAGGATCTTAGGAATTCTAATTCTGTAAGCAGCTGAACTATAAGACACATCAGTTGGTGGGGAAACACAGGCTGGGTGAATTCAGCTGCCTACACAACACTTGGTTTTCTGCATTTAACTGTCTCAAGGTGCTCAAGAGCTCCCTTTGGAGGAAACAGAGTAAAGGGAAGGCGACCTGACAAAAATCCTGTGGAGGAACAGGGGGAACAAACAGCAGCAAGAGATTTTTCCACAATAATTCCACTGCTAGTGACTATGTCCACAGTGGGGCTGAGGGATTTTTAGAAGTCCAAATGCCAAAAAAAAAAAAAAAAGCAGTAAGGGAACCCTGAGTGCCATATTCTACGTGGCGTGAAGGGAAAGATTTGGCCAGCACTTTTCCAAGACAGGGCTTGTGTTTGCACAGCGATCCATCCAAATCCATGGGGCTTCCCAGATGGAGGCTCCAAGCCCCACTGGATGCTGAGCCTGCTCTTAAGGTGAGCAGGAAGATTCCTCCCTATTGCTCCAGGCAAACCCCACAGCTCCCCCCACTACCTCAAGATTTGTGTTCTGGTCATTTTGGATCAAAACTCCCCAGTTTTAACAGAGACTGAAAAGCCTATGACCTCACAACAACATGGCTCAAGCAAATGTTCCTTTTTACTTCTTATTTTTCATTTTTCAACTTTGCTAGTAGCTCAAATTTCCAGTTATATCCTTCCTGCTGGCTGGAATAACACTTGGCCTTGGTTTTTCCCCTGCCTCCTTACACACACTTTTTCATTCTTGCTCCTTTCTCTCCGTTTTGAGAACAAAACCTCGTTCCAGCACTTTGCCCTCACAATCAAAGCAGCAGCTAAAGGCTATGACTTACAAATCTGTCAGGTCTCAGAGGAGCCAAGATCAAATAGAGATCAAACAGAGTCTGCTTTCCCAGCAGCAACATTGCAAAGTCTGCCAGCCCCTGGAATATCTCAGTCCATCTGAATTCTTTGCTCTCCACTCACTCCCCTGGAAAGGTGGATGCTATCAGTTTTATCATTTCAAGAGAAAATCAAATTGCCTCACCCCACAGAAAG